GTTTCCGATGTCACCACCAACATTCCAACACTTCCGCGTCCGTCTGCTCTGACAGGAATAGGACTTTTAAGACTCTTTGGTAGCATCCGCTATAACTCGGTAAGCAAGACAGCATTTGAGCGATCAAGCGACGACATTATCTAAGAACATTTTCTTGGAGGAACCAGCACAGCTTCAAACGTGATTTTCGATCTCTTGTCTATAGTGGAAAGGAAGCGCTGGCACACTATGAAGAAAAATTTTGCTTGGACGCTTTTCCTTGTTGTCTCCTTCCGAGGTTTTCTTGTTTGATCCTCTCGTGCTCTAAGAGACGTCCGGATGGATGTGTATCCCACAGGATCCGTGTTATGGCTAACTTGTAGAGAGTAGAAGCATTTCTACATCACTGGCAAATTCCCATATCACTCTTATAACTCTGGGTTGGTCACAGTGCGCAGGGTTCTGGTGAAGTGTAACACGTACTAAGTTTTTAGATTTGGCTTTTAGGTTCATCAAAATGAAAGATGAGTTCCGCTGGTCTTGGTCATCAGGCAACTCACTCCGCAATGTGATGGCGGTAGATCCTGAGATATTATAGCACCCAATGGCCAAGACCTTATTCTTGGCTACTTTTTGTTGAGCTTCAAGGTCGGACAGTAGTTGGTCCTTGCCTCATGCCTGGAGTTGACAGGCTATTTTTGTCTCCCTGTTCTCGTTATCGATGTTTGCAACAGAGGCGACCGTAATTGTTGCATCTCGAGTGACGTTCGCAGCGATCTCTGCATATGTGACTGAATTTCCAAAGGGCTTGAATACAACCAGTGACTTATAAGTTGCGGATGCAGAACACTGGTTTTCAGCAGTCCCATAATTATTAATGTTACGAATAGTTACAATCGGCGGAATCCAAACGATCACACGTTTTGGTTAGTGCCTGATCTTCGTTATCGTGAGCACCGCTTGACTACCAGAGTCCGGATCTCTTTTTGCCTGGCGTTCTTCTAAAATTGAAGCAGATGCCGGCAATGGGGACCTTGTCGATCGCGGTTCACGTAAAGTAAATTGCTCGCCACTGTTTTCTTAGAAGCCACTACGCCTTCCTGGCACATACTCACTTCCAGTGATATAATCTTGTCTTTCATTCACTGTTCAGCTTTTGCTGCTAACCGGTTGCGCTTTTGAACACAAGCATACACTTGATGAGTAGAATGGTCGAACACGCAGTACAAAACCAAAGGTCGTTTTAAGATCAGTTTCGATTTTCAATCTCTCAATTAAATAGGTTCGCATACATTGTATGGTACCATTTGGAATAGAGTGAGCAAGCTAACCTTACTCTAACTAATCGAGTAAATTCTGCCGACCCACATCTACCCCTCACCTGAAGCCTTTTTGAATTCGTATCTACTTACTTTTTGCTACTGAGCATAGCGTCGTTCTGACAAACTGTGTCATTTGCTGTTGTGTACTGTGCTGACTTTGGCCGGTTGCGCACACCAGACAGAAGATCTTTGTGGTTAGTAAGATCAAGTGAGGGCGGACTATCGGTCAGTTGGCTTCGCTGGTCGGTGGGATGGGTTACGCCGGCGCACTTAATGGCAAGGTCACAAAAAAGAGCGACTGGCTTTGGTTATCGATCAATTCTAGTTTAATCCTGGAAACGAAGGGGCATCTAGAAATGCTTATGAGTCTGTTTGATTACTTCTTCTCAGAAACTTGAAGCACTGGGTTCCTTGTATTAACCTAAAGATTACAACGCGAAGACGGATGTTGCACCATGATATCATTTCGCGCTTTCTGAGCCCATACAAACTCTGACATTTAAGGATCACAAAAGGGGAAATCAATGCTTTAAATGGTGTCAGCATGTGAACGGAGAGAAACATAAGGGTAGAAACTCCAACAGAATCACAAGGTTAGGGACATGTGTCACTATCCCCAAGGAAGCTTGGGGGTGACAGTCAAATGTTTTTACACACATAGGTCCTGACGTCTGTGATTAATTGCCACCGTTACCGCGAGCATGGGTAGCTTGGCGTTTTCATTAGTGTAGATAAGCGTAAACGCCAAGTTAGAATCAATTTATGGCCACGTTTCAAGTAGATGTCTGGCTATCGAAGAGGCCTGCAATTTTGGTCTTGACTCATGTCCTGGTGATTGTTTTTCCACACTTGTAACAACTCATTTCAGGATGTGTTCACCGATCCGCTTGGGTAGACATCGGTCTGTTCTGCCGACGTAACAGCTTCCACAGTTACAGACAAAGTTGTAAACGCAATGTGTTGTGGCGGAAACCGACTGCGTAAGCTTAACCGGAGACGTTGGTAACTTACTATTTGTCCAAATTGGGCCCAGCTTTTCAGCACTGAATGTACGTCGAATTGCTGTGGCAACACGCCGCTCTACTTGCGTAGCTACATCATCCCCTTTGAATGGCAATTGGCGACAGACGGGCATTTTTGACACTGTAGGGGGCTTGTGTTTTTTCGCTTCCGTAGCGCGACCGTGAAATTTAATAAACGCTGTCGGCTAGCCATTTCCCTCCAGCATCTGTGTGATGAACTGCAATTCAGCTTCGTCACATTCAGGAAAGCATATTTTACGAGCTGGTTGGAACAGCTTTTTGACGAGGCAACGTTTGTACCGGACCGGTGTGAAGCTGCTGAAGTTTTCGTAAAGCTCCGTCCAAGTGGCTTTCCGGTAGACAGAACGTTGTATCGAGCCGTCGTCAGTTTTAGTCAAAAATACATCCAAAAAGGCACACAGTTGTTGTTCTCTAACTCACATGTAAAATGAGCGTTCGAGAGTACATTGTTCATCACCTCAATAAGACGTTGGGCGGCATTCATGTTGGGGTGCGATCACTAGCGTATCGTCAATGTACCGAGGTAACGACACATCTAGTCGAGGTGTGAGTAACAGCGTGCTTCAACCATTGACATGAAAATGTCTATAATCGTGGGACGGAGTAGACTTCCCATTGCAACGCCGTCTACTTGTCGGTAGGACTCACTTTCGAATAAGAAATGTACATTCTCTATGCATAACAGAATTAACAAGTTAAGGTATTCGAAGAGTATCGGCAAAACACTTTTCGATTGGTTAGAAATGGCATAGGTATCCCACCGTTTCTCTTAATGAGACCAAAGTAAAAAGTGATTAAACATCCAGTGAACACATTAATTTATCTGTATTGTTCATACGCTGTGCTGATTCGATAAGTACAAAGTTTCTACCTTATGTTTTCATACCCATTATGACAGCAACTAAATCATTGATTTCCCCTTGCGTGATTGTTAAATGCCGCTCCTTTGCATGTGATCAGAAAGTATGAAATTATGCCCTTGTACAAAACCTGTGTAGGCGTACGAATTACCACGAAAACCGCAGCCTGCATGTCATGATCATACGTCCGATAACCACACCATCTGCACCTTCTGCTGAGATCGCGGATAACCCTACATTTGTCTACTTCATGCGATTACTTATGCACAGCTCCATGTTTCATCGTAACTCACACCATAGTAACGAGTCTTGTTCCCAATAACTTTATCTGTCACTGCTCCTACGGGCTATTGTGCGATTCATTGTTTTCCTAACCATGTCTACGTGGTTTCATTCCAACTCCGCCGCAAGATACGCACATACTGTGTAACGTGCCTTGGTGTCCCACCACTCGGCATGGATTTGCTCTCATCCCACACTCGTGAGATTGTGCACTCCCCCTTGTTATTAGTCTCAAAGGTATACAGGCCCTTGTTATGTCTGTCTTGCTCTTCGTAAATTCCAACTCGACATGGACTTGCTCTCATCCCAAACCCGCTGTGACGGTTCTGCACTCCCACCCCGTGTTACCAACCCCAAGGGTATCCAAGTTCTTGTTGGTCTTTGATCCCATACCCGCAGCGAGCAGCGTTAATCTCATTTTACTTGAAGGTAATGACACCTTGTATCTTCCTGTGCTCCGTGCCGCGGACCAGCGGGATAAAATTTTGTACAGCTTAAAAAGAACCCTCGGATGCCTCTCTTTGAATCTGGGCTGTGTTGCCTTGCTGTAAGGTAGCAAGTGCGTTGAGACTATTTCATTGTGTACCAAGACCCGGTTGTTTCAGGACTGAACGGGCACTGTTGAGGTATGTAAATATGTAGTTGAGTTTTATTTTATTTAATAGTATCGTATTTAACGTCTCGGCTTCCTTCCTTTGCCGGACCCGGGAGATTTTATGAGTCACTCGAGGCCCAAGCGAATCTGCCGATTACAGTATTCAACATCCGTGTCTTGCTTGGCATTGGAGTTCAAGTACTCAACAACCGCTAAGGTAGTATTGATTTGGAGTACAAAAACTCAACAACGGTTTCTTGGGTCGGCTTCACTTAGAGTACAAGTACTCGGCAGCCGTGGTTTACTTTAGATTGAACTGCAGTAGGCGTACCCAGAGAGCCGGTTTGCTAAGTTATACTTGTATCCATCATATTCGCACGCATAATCTGTGCCATGCGTCGTCGATACGCATCCACACCCATTAGTGGTGCCGCACTGACGCACCGGCGGATTTTGGCCCCCACCTATTCGGGATGCCAGCACTGCCTCTAGTCGGATGCGATTCATGGGAGCGGTGAGTCAGTAAACTGAAAAAGTCAACAGACAAATTCAATCCTGTTGGTACCTGTGGGGATCCGGAGTGATGATGGTCTATGGGTGCGGCACACCAGCAGCTGGAATCACAAGCGTACACAGTGCAGTAGAGCTATCTTTGATCCTGGATACCAGTAGCCTAAATCCATCCACCAACTACTGCACCAGTACTCATTTCACAAATAATATTTCTTTTCCTTTTACGTGTGTACGTCTATGATCATTTCTTTTACTAAGCTGAGGCAATCGCTGCGACTGGATTCACTGTACTTCAACGCAAAACAGGTTTTTAATTGAAGTATCCACAATTGCCTTACATATACTTTAAGGGAATATGCTTCAATGTTAGTCATTCAAATATTGGTGGTTTCATGGAAAACTTTACCTGAATGAATACGTCGTTTGCTTGCATCATAGTAGAAACCTCAATATCGGATTGGGGAAATCGGCCCAAGGGGAAGCCATCCACAATTTCAGGAAAATCCATATCACCGTGGGCATCTATATGAATCTGAAATCGGAAGGTTGATTCCCAGACACAAATGAATGAATGGCGAAACTGTTCAACTGTATCGTTAGGTTATCATTAGAGAAACTATTTATAATCAGTATATTGTGACAAATGAAAGTTAGCTAATTTTTTGGTTTTATGGCATCAAGCATGTGAAAGTGAAATCTGACATCTTCTCGGCGCCGAAGCGCTTTAGTGGACCAAATATCTCGCCGTGTTTTGTCATTAGGGTTCAGCGTTCTGTGGTATTTGTACGGGGGGCGCTCAAGCCAGTCGGAAACTCTGTAAACAAGAGATTTACAAGGTGCAGGAGGTGGTGACTGTACTTATGTTCCAATGAGTTTCGCAGCGCAAGTACCTAGGTGTCTCACCAGGAGTTAGCAAGCCCCAGCACCTAGATAATTGGCAGTACGTATTTATTACTATAATAAAGCCGGATTCAATTCATCACTATTGCGGCAATTATGACCACCGGCTAATTCTTTTCGGTGTTTAAACCGCATACGAACACTTGAATTTTAGTCTGGACTATAAGACCGATGCGTCCATGAGATGCAGAAATTACTGGCCTTCCATGACATACATGACCTTCAATTCGGTGCAGGCTTAAGTTAGCTGACATGATGAAATGCCAAAACTATTTTGTACTAAGGTCGCGCCCAATGTCTGAGAGAAAAAATGACCTTGAATGTTGTATTTAGTGCTCTGTAAGCATGAATAGACGCGGTTGCACCTCCACCATATGATAAGTACGATTGTCTCGGATGAGCTGCCCAGAGCTATCAAAGTCCTCACGAATAATATCCGTGTATGAGATTTGCCCTAACTTGGATCGTCCGTGACAGACGTGCCATCACCTTGTAACACTTGAACCCATCGAATAGCTTACTCCGACTGAGTGTGACATCTACGGTTATTATACCTCTTGTAACAATTACTACGACTCGCTGTTGTATTTGCAAAGACACCATGTCGCCTAATAGCTTGTATAACTAACTGAATTTTGTCCGACAGTTGTGACTGTTAGCAATAGTCAGACACAGTTGTCAGTTCGCGTTCTGCGTATCAATTGCGCCTTAAACCCAGATAAAGGAGGTCCCGTTTAAATATCGATCCCGCGTGAGCTTTTGAATTTTGCATTTTAACATTGCTCGTGTTTATGTTGCTTCAAAGCGGACTTGTTTGCAGATACGTTGCCCTTTACTAGAGAGTTTGATATCTCACAAAAGCCATCTCACCAAGCCATTATAGCAATTATAATGTTCTTTTTATGTTGGTTTCTTGTATCTCATTGCTTCCACGCTAGTGGTTAGGAACATCGGGAAACATGCCTCCAGAAATGGACAGCTGTCTTGCATCTGCTTTAAAAACCGATATGGCTCAGCCTAACATTCACGTTATCCCAGATGGAGAATTGATATCGCACGCTGTAAGCGTTCCAGTCCTTCGTAGTGCTTAGTTTAAGGTTTAGCTGCAAGAAATAGTCGCTGGTCCGCCACCTATTGATAACATCAAATCCCATAAGACCTCATTTCGTAGCATAATATATAATTTTGCATAATCATATTCTTGGTGCCTAGTAGCCGGCTGCTAGCTTTCCGGAACGATGCCAATCCGTTGCTGGTAGCTCAACCGGCATACAACTGATGTATTTTCTCTTTCATTTATATACTGCGGTACAATAGCTGAGGTGCATTACACCTCGAGGTAAGGTGTATAGTGACGTGGATGATGATGATAATGAACAGGGAACAACGCGGCGATTCTGAACCTCGAGTTTACCAATGCGTGACATATTGTCGGCACAGTAACAGGGAGTAGCCCCGTGCGGAGTTGGAATCATGTATCTCTGCTTTTCCGCTACATCTGCTATGCAGGACTGTTCAACCGGGACATCGAAGGGGTCCGTATCGCAACACATCAACATTTAATCCGAGCTCACCAAGGTCACTGATTCGTCGATTCTAGTTGAACAGACCTCGATGTCGTTTGCGGGGGTAAGCATGCTAGCAACAAACCCATCAATGACTGAGATGTTTAGATACAAGATATAAATTCTTACCTGATGTGTAGGAAGAGGAAATGGCGGAACTTGACAGATTCATTTTGGTAAGCAAACGAAACCAACCTGGCTGTCTAATGTATAAACACAGCTAATTGAATTATCTCAGTGACTTGAAATACAGACCCTTGCAGCGCTAATAGGAAATCCGCTGACGCTGCTAAAATAACGCAAGGCAACCATCCCTGGTCCTTTCTGAAGGATGTTTTTGACGTCTAACCATTGCATCGACGTATATATTCTTCTCTTTGGTGCAGTGAAAGCTTTGTCTTTTTGATTAGTTAACAATCGTCACTGTCATTTCGAGAAAGAACCGATGAAGTAATCGGTTGGTATAGTATTTTGGTAACGTTTCACACTTCACACAAGGGCTGCGTCAGACCAGGTGAATCAGTGTGTAATGGGGGTGGGATTTTAAAGCGAACAGGGACGATAACCACGTTACCCGAGACTTGAGCCATGGTGGCATTACAATAACAGTTCGTGATGTCACATTAGGTGGTTCAATCACAGTGGGAATACCCTAGGTGTTCCTTTGTGCGTCATGCCATTGACGGATAAACCCATAGTGTTGACAATGGGAGTCGGTTTGCACCTTCCACTCGGATCCACGCACCGATGCTCGTCAGGCTGGCCGGCTTAACATCGCTTGCCAAACACTAGAGAGTTTTACCCCCTCCACCCTATTCACGCAGTTGTCAGACTCGGCAATTTCCACCGCCTCGGCATTCAACCGCTGAGGCTTTGATCTTAGACCCCTCCTAATGACCTCTACGTTTTCCAAGTCTATCTGTTGACCTGTGTCTATTTGATGCACAGCCACGGCCGAGTCCCGTATTATCACCTGGTATTCAAACTCGTTAATTGGTTGTCTTGAAACGCGCCTCATATGCTCTGAAATTTGTATGCGTACTTCTCTCGCTGTTTGGCATATGTACACATGTGCACAGTCCCTACATTTAATTTTAACTTTAAGAACACAGTTAGTCGTCCTATTCTTGGGAAGGGGGTCTTTCAGATGTACCAGCGCCGAAAGTAACGTTCGACCTCGGTGAAAGATCACCCTTATATTTTGCTTCTTTAGTACCCTCCGAATTGCCTCCGAAGTACCTTCCTTGTACGGAATTCCTACCGTCCCTATCCAATCGATTGTGGGTCTTGACTGCCGGTTTAGCACTTTATACAATTGACGTTTGACTACCTGCCGTGGGTAACCACTTACTAATGGTTTGCTCATTGCCACTTTCCGCGCAGCCATTTTGTCCTCATCCATGGTGCACAAGGTTTGTACCCTGTAGAACAGCGCTGAGTCTATCCCAGCGTAAAATGGTTTCGGATGACTCGGTGTAGTGGAGTACGCTGTCATTATCTGTTGGCTTGCGATATAGTGTCGTCTTTAAATCTTCTGAGGCGGTGGAAATTGCCGAGTCTGACAACTGCGTGAATAGGGTGGAGGGGGTAAAACTCTCTAGTGTTTGGCAAGCGATGTTAACCCGGCCAGTCTGACGAGCATCGGTGCGTGGATCCGAGTGGAAGGTGCAAACCGACTCCCATTGTCAACACTATGGGTTTATCCGTCAATGGCATGACGCACAAAGGAACACCTAGAGTATTCCCACTGTGATTGAACCACCTAAGGTGACATCACGAACTGTTACTGTAATGACACCATGGCTCAAGTCTCGGGTAACGTGGTTATCGTCCCTGTTCGCTTTAAAATCCCACCCCCATTACACACTGATTCACCTGGTCTGACGCAGCCCTTGTGTGAAGTGTGAAACGTTACCAAACTCCATACCAACCGATAGTTTCCAAACCTCTCTCATCTCATGACTACTCGACCGGTTCCAATTATCTTCCAGGAATTCGAGACCAATGAAATAACTGTGAAAATTGTCATGACGGCCACGTCACCCCGACATCATCAAGGTTTCCAACCTACATTCTGCTACGGCTCACTGAACGTTACTAGAGACGAATTGCAAAAAAGCATAATGGCTTCTAACCCTGAAGTTGCGAACTGATTACCATTTATTCTCTAGCAGCTACTCTAACATCGACACGCTACGGAAGCTCTGATAAGTTTATTCTTTCCTGCCCCGAAAGCCGTATCCACATATCCACAATTATGAATATACCCTGCTTTGAATGGGGTGTTCGTAGCTTCACTCTGCGTAATATTCCACGAGAAAATGCTTGTTGAGACCCCCCGGCTTTGGAAAGAAGTGGAGCCGTCATACGTTACCGAGTTGATGCAAGCTTGACCAAATTATAGTGATTGTCTAACTCCTATCTTCACTGTGCTCTTTAGGCGTAGAAGTTCTGTTTATTTACTGGTTAGCACACAACATACATTTTTAGGTCGTGTCCAGGTACTGTTTTACCACACAACAGGCTAACATGTCGTATTGTGTGGAATTGTGGCTTCAACATGCAAAGTACTGCTACATGACTGGGCTGACATTGCCAGTTCTTTAAAGTATCGATCAAACGTCCTAGGTTTACATTTCGGGATGATAATTTTATCTCTGGCAGCCAGTGCCGCAGTTGTTTACTCAGTGGTAAGTTTGCGCGGTTTTCAATAGCCTTACTAACTTACGAGGGGGGAGGGATTTTAACTACGTCGCCGATGTTATGGTTTTGAAGCTAAAAGGCGACCGCTATTTGATTTTGGTTCACAACCTCGGTGACTGTAACCCATGGTAGTACCTGGCTAACCGCGCTTACACTCCAATCGCTATGAAGTAGCGTTGCAGTCTTGCGGGAGCAACACATTATTAACAATACACGGAATTGTAAAGCATCAGCTTCTGCTACGGAATCGCTCAATCCTACGCACAGGCGATGTCAGTTCGACTGGTGACGAAACGTTTGCAAACAAATTGCCCAGCTCCGCGAACATAACAGCAGCTGAGCACTGATAAGTTTAATCCAGTGAACATAAACGAGTCTTGGGGATACTATTCGAGGGCTTATTTAGCTTGCACTACCAGTCACTGGTTGGGTAAACATCTATACTTGTCTTCAGTTCTATTGCCTTTACATATATTGACTGTCAATACTGCGCGTAGTCGGTCGAAAATCCGACTTGTCTAGTGAACTGCGCGGCCATAGTATATGAAGAAACGAATCTAAATGATCAGCAGGGTTCGTACATGTTGTCCACCTAAATGGGTATTTGGGATTAGTCAACATGATGGTTAGATGCTTTCCAGGTAGGAAGTAGGTACGAGGTCAGTGGCACCGTCTAATTAAGTCCATTGTCACTGGATTCGAACTATTCCTTCCGATGAGTTCAATTCGCCAAATCCACGGGCAGTTAAACAGCTATTAAACATCCAAAAAGCTTTGGTGAGTTGTTGTATTTTACCTGGCCTCTTCCGCATCATGTAACCGCCGTAACCGGCTGGATACAAACCCACGGCGTTTCTCCTACGGGCCAGCGTTGGAAACCTCTGGACCATGAGTTGGCTCTCAGACCTACGGCTTCACTTGCAAGGCACTACAAATCAAGTTGGTATGATTGTTGCTGAAATGATTAAGGATTGTCAGTTGAAACTCCTTGTCCGTGTTTCTTGTTCGCTTACATCATTATCCATAAGGGTCCACTCCGTATGATGCTGGTCGAAGAAGCTAAAGCCACCGCATTTCGGTTCATGGATCTTAGTAGGTCAAGTAAACAAAATTAGCTCGAAATCCCGCCAGCCTCTTGCTTATGCAATCGGATAGTCACTAAGCTTGTAACTGATGTCAAAACTATTTGCTAACAATATATTTGGTGCTGCAATTATGTCTAACCTGGATAAGGTTTTTCGCACATGTGGGGATTTTACCGCGGTTACGTACTTGTAAGCGATTACATTCCATCAATAAGCTGGTTAACAGCCGACCAAATTCAATAGCCGGTTTGCTAGTCCAATGTATGTAGCTTACCAGAACTGCCTTTTTTCCATGATTCATCTTCAGATAATTCACCCAGACTGGAATAACTGAAATAACGATACGGTCGAAAGTTAGTGTGCAAAAGTATTCATCTGAGTATAAATGGTTGAGCTTTGTGATCAGCCAGACGATATTTCACATACATGGTAAACTTTGCAGCATAGTATTGAAGTACTCAGTCTGATTTGAGCTCTAAGCGTCACTACAACGCCATAACACGAATGTCACTAAAAGTACAAGATTAACTCTGAAAAATGACTGGGAAACACATCGCGCACACATTCGACTTTATGGTATATGTCAGGATACACTGTACAGATTTCGCATAGCCACCAAAATTTCATTCCCCCATTTCATGGGGTGAAAAGGATTGCGCATATGATACTGTGTGCGGTACAGCCTTCTATTCACAAATAGCTACACTTAACTCCCTAATGACACCATCAAGACACTTTTCTCTACAAAGCGTGGCAGGTGTCAGCAGTTTCCTGGAGTGTTAACCCAATCACCAGAAGTACTTAGTGGTGATTTACCAGTCGTCATAAACGCATGCGTGATCAACACATACAAGTGCTGGAAGTGAGGCACGATGACTTGATAAGTCAACGTTTCCAACATGTCTCTATTTTGACCGCAAAATGGGAATGGTAAATTATATGGGTGTCGTTAGTGCGCAAATTTGAAGAGAAAGTACATAACCTAGCTGGCAGATTTATCCTTCTGCTCTGCACAATGGAGTCTTTGAATCTCCTCGAATGTCTACCGCAGTTGGCGATCAGTGGGAGTGATTCTCTTCTACGTATCTGGCAGTTATGCAGGCTAGGCTTAACTTGCCTTGCCCCACCCCAGCAGTGGTGAACAGCATGTGATACCAGTTAAGGTCATTTGAAGTTAGATCAATTTGGACCCACATAAACCATTAAGGAAATTACCAGAGGGACATGCCATGCAGTATGTGTTGCAGCAAATCCCAATTTCACAGCTGCACATTTGATTATGCAAGTCACTTTCTAGACACATAAAGGCATGATACAAATTTCCGTGTGCTTAAACTAGTTGATGGTACAGCTTTTTATCTGAATACTGTCGACTCTCATTATACTGGTATTTGCAGTACATCGTAGATCGCATAGGGCTGTGATACAACTAGGTCAATGCCCATCACCTGAGCTCAAAATCAACACAGGCGCATTATCATGTGGGTGCGAAAGCCCATTAGTCACCGATGAATGAGTTAACTAGACTAAATGCTAACTAGAGCTGCTTACAGATTTGGAAAACTCATAGTCACTTCTGCCGCCACCACCTGAAGTTTTATTACAACCCAACCTTTGAGGATAGTAGTTGATGTCGAACAGACATTGCCGGTGCAGATGCCATAGGAATGTCGCCGCTCCGTGAAACGATTTGCATTAAATGAGTTGGCCTGCGTACATTGAGTGAGGACTAAACACAAAAAAACATTGTATACACCAGCCTCCCCAATCTAATCAGGCTAGGGGGGTTCTCATTTGCTTTAACGTGAATATGGTGAGTGTACAGATACGCGATGTGTGTTGTTGATTAAGGTGTGAACTCATGATTTACACCAAAATCATGCTATGGGACTTCGGAATCTTTCTGTTTATACTGGTATTAAACCATTACTGGCAAGCCTATGTTCCATTGAAGTCAAGCCGCACTTGGGAAGTTAAAGGTGTTGTGTTTTCCAAATCACTGGAAAAACGAACAAAATGTGAGGCCCCAAAGGAAACGTCTGTTTCTCTTCATATGATAATATCATTACAGAACTAAAAGACAAATTAGGCTTTTTGTAATCCCAACTTGATAGGATAAATAATCTGATTGTCGTTGCGCTCCTCAAAGATTGTCTTATTTGGCTGTAACACATCGGTGCCACGTTTGGGAAAAAACAGATCCTGTTTCGATCAAAAAAGCAGGCTGGCTAATTGCCTTTGTAGTCTCCGAAGTGTACGAACAACCAAGCAGGCTAAAATGTGACTGTTTTCGACTCTCTGGATACATCAAATCTGGATAAAGTAAAACTAACAGTACTGTGGAATTCAGAATCTCATCGCCTGAAAAAGAAGACATAAAGGCCTTGTTGTCCGATCATTTTTAAACTGTTAAGCAAAGGAGCTGCGGAGCTACGGAGCAATTCATGCACTGTGGACCCTTCGTCTCCTGCACACTCAGTTTGAGGGCATTTTGAGTAAATCACATGCAACACCTTTACAAATGTCCGCACTTGCTACTGTACTGCGAAATCCGGAAAAGGCGACTAGGTCCAACGAAAAATTTCAGTCAAACATCCGAAAGATGCGTGCATCTAATGTGAATACTTGGTGCATCAAGTTAGACTTCAACAATTCATCTACAGAGACAACAAACGCAAGTGCCATCTTTCAATGTCCCATTGAAACACTTTCAGTGCAGCGAACAGATAGAGTGGGTTCCCTTATTTTCGGTAGCGGTAGTCCCACTAGGTCGAACACGTCCTGTATGGGATTTAAATGCTCGGAACAATGGAAGAATGGTAACCTGTTGGTTGTTTCTCATGCCAATCTCAACGACCAAAGCAACTTCAAAGATAGACAACCTGATGTAACTCATGACCTACTGCTGCCAAAGGAAGAATAAAACACTGGAGAAAGTTGTGCTCGACAGAACTAGAGCTACAAGAAACCGTAGCAGACAAGGTTTCCTATTGGTCACTTTCCCACAGCCACCACAAAAACACTTTTCTCTGTTGAATAAGGACAAAAACAGCTGTCTCTGGGCTATATCTAGTTATCTTCCTATCCTCTATAGCAAACACTTGAAGGAAGTAGGTCAATGGGATAATGTTACCATTATTCCGGCCCAAGCTCATTCAACCCCTTCCATGCCTCTTTCCAACAATGGATTTTTAGAGGTGGTGGGAATAGACTTGTATCTTATCCCACCTCAGGTACACCAAGTGGAGGTAATCTATATGAGCCCACTGTTGCTCCCTTTTGTCAAAATAGAAAAGCCCAGTGCCATGCCAACGGCAGTCGAAACACTATGCCCCGGCTCTTTTCGTACCCTCAGCTTTAGCGACATTCACGCTTGACAGATTGCCCCTGCTCCAAACTTACTAGTAGCTGACTTGGGTCCAACAATCGCGCACTTACCTACGATCTGCACCATGTCCGAACCCAAATACCCGGGTGGTCAGGCAACAAACAGCGGCAGTTTTCAAATACACAATATGTTTTCTGTGATCCTTCTTATGATAGATCCATAATCATCAGGCCCCTTTTTAAACACACTTGCACAATTCAGTTACTAACCGCTGTCGAAACATGGTGTTCGTCGCATGATTCCAAAATACGACCAGTTGGGAAGAGATCGCCGCGCCAGATAATGCGGAGTGTGTACGATATATGCACACAGAATATTTGCAACGGAACTTAAACCACTCAAAACTGGAAAATGTCCTTGAATCTATTTTTTCTTAGTTGCAGGAGCCTCACTTTACATACTGCTCGCCTACATCTACAAACCACCCAATGTTTCTAAGTTTAGTATGGACAAAATCACCTTTGCGTTTGACTTTGCTTCGGAGTCGCCCCACAGACTGTTAATTGTCAGCAGTTTCAAGTTATTAAAAACTCGCTGATCATCCCAGCCATCATCGTATTTGCGTACAAGTTTTCTTTCTTCCATTAGAGCCGAGCAGCTGGATACAACGGTTTACCAGTCAAATTAGGTGATTGGCAAGCACTTAACGTTGCAGCAAACTTTAACTCGAACCACTTTGGATGCGACTGCTGAAGTGTAACTGGTGGCTTCTTTACAACCTGATACTTGAAGACCAATTCTGACCTATTTAAACTCGAAAAGCAACGGAGCTCTATTCGATCGCTTCGCAACAGAGATTGTACGCTGGTTGTACCATGGGCTAGAACATGCATGCGTTCCGAGTTCGTCCTCGTTACATATATCTGTCTGTCAAAGGAACTGCCAGTCACACCCTGCTCATATGACAATATGGCAACCTGTGTGTAAACAAACTCGCAACTAACTTTGACCTGAACACGATTATAACTAATTGGAGGGCCGTTTTGAATTGTGCGTTGTGTGATTGGATTTTGACGCGTAATCTAAATGTAGGCCGCGGTTCGTATTGAAGTGAATCTTGATCAATGCGATCACTGGGCGCGTACGTTGAACTCTCCAAACTCAGACCGACTGTCCATCCGCCTAAAAGTTCGATCACACACACTCACTGACGCTCCGTACCACGCCGGTCCACCATATACACGCGCATTGATGATATTACCTCTAGTAGTGACGAAACGTTTGCAGCCAAACTGCCGATCTCAGCGAACAATCAGACCAGCAACTGAACAAGCTGAGCTATCAATATTTGCTTCAATATCACAAAAGTTTCTGATTTAGAACATACGATTGGCTGTTGAAATTGTTCTCAGTATGTAGTATGGATTGTATCAGTTCAGTTATCAGTTGAGCAACTATAATCCGAGCACCGAAGTGCGGTGGATCTAGTTGCCATGACTCACATCGCGAGAATAACGATAAATATCAACGTCGCGATAGTGTGGTTGAATGCAACTTGAGTGTAAAGGGAATGGCGGAAGGAATAAAGTGAATTAAATTAATCCGAATGGATCAAAAATTAACAATTATATGCAGGAAACCGAATGCAGGAAAGTCACTGACCGCTTGACTGCACCATGTCTGATACGCTTGCCAATCATTAGCATGGACAATCCCGATGCTCCCATCCATGAAGAGGACACGCAGCCTCCTGACCAAGTTTCTCAGTCAATTTCTTCATACCTCGGTACCAAGTCATGGACTGGCCACCCCGAAGTTTCATCCAACTTGGTGTTGCCACGGCATGTAATGCATGCGGAGGAATCCGGCCAATGGGTATACGGAGGGCGTGGCCTAGGCAACGTAAGCTATTAAGACCCAGCAAATATTCGGGTGAGGCACCAGAAGGCTTTTTGCCAAAAACCAACTGGCGGACCTCAACATTGCTCACCAGGTGTTCCCA